TGACTTCTTTCCGTCGTCTGCCGACCCGTCGTTGTTCGTCCGCCGTGGCTCGACCCCGTTCTTTGTTCTGGTCTTCGCCACTCCCGACCGATGCGCCCTGGCCTCCGTGAAGGAGGAACTGAAGAGGAGACACACTTGCACTGACCTTGGTGAGCTGCAGCGCTACCTTGGCCTGCAGATCACTAGGGACAGGGCAGCTCGCACCATTACGCTGACGCAGTCGCATATGGTCGAGCAGATCCTCACGCGGTTTCGCTTCCCGTTCTCCAAGGTACATCCCACCTCTCTTGCTGTGGATCATGGGCTCACGGTTCCACCTTCAGACGAGCCATTTGAGTCCAGTGGTCCATATCCTGAGCTGGTGGGTTGTCTCATGTACCTGATGACCTATACTCGACCTGACCTAGCTTACCCTCTTAGTGTTCTTGCGCGCTTTGTTGCGCCTCGGAGACACCGACCTTCCCACTGGTACGCTGCTAAGAGGGTGGCAAAGTATGTTGCGAGTACATCGGGCATGGGACTTGTCCTTGGAGGGAAGCAGCCAGTTACACTTACAGGTTTCTCAGACTCGTCGTGGGCCGACGACGCAGAGTCGTTGCGGTCTACACAGGGTTACTGCTTCAGCCTTGGGACCGGAGCTGTTTCGTGGAGGTCGACTCGGGCGTCGTCCGTCTCTAGTTCCAGCTGTGAGGCAGAGGTGTACGCTGCGGCCATGGCCGCCCAGGAGCTTCGCTGGCTGTCTTTTCTTCTCACCGACCTTGGTGAGCGGCCTTGCTCTCCCCCAGTCTTGTTCGCCGACAACAGGTCTGCTACCCTGTTGTGGGAGGAGCCCCGACTGGTTGGGAAGGCGAAGCACATCCAGCTTCGTTACTTCCTTCTGCGAGAGTTGCAGCAGCGTGGCCAGGCACTTGTGCGACGTGTAGTCTCTGAGGCCAACACGGCAGACATCTTCACCAAGGCGTTGCCGCCTTGTGACCACCAGCGTTTCTGCACCCAGCTAGGCCTTGTGTCTACCGGCCCGCACTTGCTTGCGTAGAGATGCTTTGTCTTGTACTCATGCATCTCACTATATCTCGTATATATATGCTTGTGGACTGGCCTTGTGGCCCCTTGCTTTCGTAGGGATGCTTGTCATGCATGTCTTGTATTCTTGCATCTTCTATATTTGCTTGCATGTGGACTGGCCATGTGGCCTCTTGCTTGTTCTCGGACTATGTGGTGATCTTGAGATCCACCCCGAGCCTTGTTTTGTTCTTGTGAACTGGTCTTGTGACCGTTGCTTGCTCTTGCTGACTGGTCCTGTGACCCTTGCTCGTAGATTGTGTGTTGCTTTCCACAGGATTACCGTCACAGGACTAGGTGTTCTACATTGCGTTACATTTGTCCTAGCACTAGGTTAGGGTTTGCTATATCAACCCTTGTATGCCCTTGATTTTATCATTCATTATTCCGTTACCTCGTTGACACCCCACATGTCCATGTGGAGATTCTGCAGAGGAGCAGTGGTCGGCGGAAACGAGGAGGAGTGGGGAGCGGCACGCTGCCGCCCCTCAACGCAGGGAAGGCACGGCGGCGCAAGCGACCTCGGGAGCGGGGGCAGGTACCTAGGAAGCCCAGAGACAAGGAGACGCGAGTGCATGCCACGCAGGCGCGTCAGGGAGGGGTGACCAAGACGGTGGTGCCAGAGGAGAGTCTGGTGCGAGAGTAGCCGGCACGAACAAGACGCAGCTAACTGACCCGACGCAGCCACCTGTGCAAACGCAGCCACCTGTGAGGACTCAGTGGTCAGTGTGTACAGGCTAGAGCCAGGCCTCCGAGTGAGCGTGGCGAGGTGCTCGCCAGTGCGTGAGTCCGAACTGATTGCCACACGCTCACCTCCAGGAGTAAAGGTACTGACCAACTCGTCCTGGAGGACAGCGTTACTCACCAAGTTCTTAGAGAACGAGGGGATGTGGAGACCTGAGAGAGAATCGGAGGGGACTGCCAAACAAGGGACAACATTGGAGGCTCGTGCAATGACTGGGCCCCCAGAGGGGTCAGCCAGAGAGACTGAGACAGGTGCTGTGAGCGGTGTGACTGTGATGCAATCGCAAAAGAAACAGCGAGACGCGCCTGAGTCAAGTGTGCAGGTGTGCAAGGCCTCAGCAGAAGCAGTACCTGCGGTAGCAAACTCACAAGCACCTAGAGCAGCCGCCTCTACACCAGCAGCGCGCGGCACATACGAGTAACAGTCACCCTCATTACCAGCAGAACCAGCATACATAGCATAGATTCCAGCATTGATCTTGGCAAAGTCAAGAGCAAACACATCTACCCCCTTCCCTAGCAACGCTAACCAGTTGGGGGCATCCAGCTCATCTCCGTACTCGGTGCGCCAGGCATCCTCGAGACGGCAGAAGCAGCGATACTCAGTGTGCCCAGTCTTCCCGCAAGGCTCACCAGTCCTGAGACCCGTGCGCCTGATGTACGGGCAACGAACATTAGCCCCAGTGGAGCCATGCTGAATCACCCACTCACGAAGCTCCTGAGGGGTGCGTGGCTCTTGCTGGCGTGGTTGATGCTGCTGTCCACCCCCAGTGCCTCCGCCGCCACGAGCTGCACCACCAATCGCCGCCCCATAGCCTCCGCCCCTGCCAGCTCCAACCCGACCGCCACCCGAGCCCCCTCCGCCCACTCCACCACCTCCACCACCCCAGCCACCTCCACTGCCGCCGCCACCACCGCCTCCACCCCCGCCACCACCACCGCCTCTACCCCCACCACCACCACCGCCACCACCCCCGCCACCACCCCCTCCAGTGCCCCCCCCACCACCCTCCGGCGCCTCCCATTAGGAGCAGACGCAGCACCGACCTCCTCATTACGAAGGAAGTCAACAGCAGCAGCAGTAGCAACGGAGGGCGCGAGAAGGGAGGGAGAATACCCCTCAAAGAAGGGGGAGCGGGGAGTGCCACGAGAGGCAGTGACAGCGACGGAACTGGTCTCAACCTCGAGGAGATGCTTCTCCAGCAAGGCAAGGGTGATCTCGGTGGGGTCAAGAGCAAGGAAGTGATCCCTAACGGTGCGGAGGAAGTCAGGGAGGCGGGTAACGAGGTAGTAGAGTATGATGTACATCAGAGGCGGGTTCGCAACCAGAAAGGCCGGCTTGAGAGCGGCACGGTAGCGAGCGTCACTAGAGCAAAGGTGGGTCATGAGGTCAGCGACAGTCTAGAACTCAGACAGCTTAGGATGGAGGTACGGCATCATGATACGGCCTAGGGCAGCAGAAGAGGGGGAGGAGTAACGAGCAACGGCAGCGTCATAGAGTTCCTTCGCCGTCTTAAGCTGGCCGAAATGGACTCGTTCCTCAGGCGGGAGGGCATTGCGGACAGAAAGGCGGGCGGCAGCATCGCGGGTGAGCCACTGAGTACGAAGAGCACGCGCAGCTGAATCCTCAGGGGCTAGGCAAGTACCGGACGTATGCTCTAACAGTGAAACGTCCTCCCTAGCCATGCTCTGCAGGTACAGCTGGAGATCGTCGAGCCAGCAGTCAAACCTAATCGGGCGACCCTCCGCGTCAAAGGCAAGGACATTAAGAGTAGCCATTGTTAGCAGCAGCAGTAGCAGCAGCAGTAGCAGCAGTAGCAGTAGTAGCAGCAGAAGCAGTAGCAGTAGCAGCAGTAGCAACAGCAGTGCTGCAGCAAAAGCAGGTCGGCCGGGCAGCTAGGCAGCGCGGCGCGGCTCGGCAGGGCGGCGCGGCTCGGGCGGTGCGGCGCGGCTCGGGCACGGCGGGGCAGCGCGGCGCTGGCAGCAGCAGCAACTTAGCAGCAGCTGCAGCGTGTGCAGGGCGCGTGCAGGCAGCGCGCGTAGGGCCACGCGTGGGCTATGCGGGCAGAGCGCGTGTAGCACGGGCCGTAAAAGCAGCGCGCGGGCGGCGCCAGCGGCGTGCGGGCAGTGCGCGAGCAGGGCGCGCGGTGCGCGGGCAGGGCGTCGGCGGTGCAGGCAGCGCGCAGGCAGTGCGCGAACGAGGCAGGCAGCGCGCGGGCAGGGAACGCAGCGCGCGGGCAGCAGCAGCAGCGCGCGGGCAGCGCAGGCAGCGCGCGGGCAGCGCAGGCAGCGTGCGGGCAGGGCGCGAGCAGGGCAGCGTGCGGGTCGCGCGCTAGGCAGCAAGCGGGCAGCGCGACGGGCAGGGCAGAGCGCGTGGGGCAGCGCAAGCAGGGCAGGGCAGTACGGGCAGTTCGGGCAATGCAGTACGGGCAGTTCGGGTTGGTCTAAACTAGCGGTGGGCCCTAACGGAGCGGTCCTACGGAGGATGGACCCGCTCTGAATAGCATGTCAGAAGTAGGACGTAGGAATGATTGACTAGTAGGGAAGAATGAGTACAGGAGTGACCTAAAGAGTTGTACTCCTTAGAGTATGCCCCACTACAGCGTAGAGATAACAAAATCAATTTGACACATCTTTGTTGGCGAAATTGCCTAGATTCAGTGGCCCTGGCAAAAAAATCGCCAGAATTTTCCGCCGTCACTGTCAATCACGGGAAACGGCATCTTTACTGTACCTACACTCGCACTTGACTTGATGTGTTGTCGCCTCGCCATCATCTTTCAAGCTTGCAAGTGAGAAAGTTTTTTTCTTGGTGACAACACTGATAGAAAGTGTTTTTTTAGGACCAACACTGACGAAAAAGTGTGGCCCAAAACGAATCTGAGGCCCTGCATCGCACTTTCTAGCTCGCACGTACCGCGTTACCGAACCGTTTGTATATTTCGCTATACATGTTTGCTCATGCCTTTGCTCACATGTGTACTCGTTTTGTCAGCTTAGTGCAATCCTCGCTACCTCGATACATTGCACCCGTGCCATCCGTAACAAACATCAGTGGTACAAGTACCTCTATACTAAATCGTGTCATACAGTAAAAAGGGCTCTTCCTAAGCATACACCTTGCACCCTATTGTTTATGGGCATCATGACGAGTCTCAATCCTAGCAAGCATTTGTCTGGTAGTGAAATGCATGTTACGCTGACTTGTCCTTCTTTCCCAGGGCCTTCTTCCTCTGCCCCATCATGTATGTGTACATGTATGGGCTCCCTGCCACGCCAGACACACTGTATGTTAGCTACAAGTAACAAACGCAGCCTTTGCACTCCGGGCCCTTAACCAGAACACAAAAGAGAACGATAAATTCGATACAAATGCTGGTTGATTCGTTTCAGCAATGAGGAACAACAACTTGTGTGCCAAGTACAACGTACCGGGGATGTAGGTGAGGAGGATGAGGATGCAGACGAGGTAATAGTCAACCGCAAAGTTGACCTTATTGGGCATGTCAAACGAAAACACGTGGGATGCCTGCCGGGGTGATTGGAGGGAAAAACAGCTGAACACTGTGATGAGTGAAACAATATGTGGTATGGTAAGGTATGAAGTGAAGCAAAAACTGTCTAAACAAACGAGCTAAAAATCGGCTAGTAGGCCACATAAAATAAGTTGATACTTTGTTTATTCCAACTGGCAGTTAGGGCTAAACACAAACAGCCCGAGGAAATTGCCGGCGATGAGGGAAACAGTTGAGCAGGCAAGTTGTCCCAACATGCCATGCCCCTCACTTGCCATGAACCCATGCCAGATGCAGATTGAAACAACAGATGCGGAATGGAGTGAGAGCAGGAGAGCTTGGAATTGCCTATGGTGAGTGAGTGGATATACCTTGGGGGAGTGAGGGGGGACTCCTTGCGAGTATAGACACAGGGAAAGTGAGTGGAGAAACTTTGAGAGTATAAACAACACAGAGAGTGTGTGGAGATACCGTGGTCGACACGACAGTGCATAGAGCGTGAGTAGGAGAGGAGACACATGCAGCAGGGCGAGCGAGAGAGCGAGGCGAACCTTGAGGTAGGGCAGAGCGAGGAAGGCGAGTCCCACTTCACTGGTGATGCCCGAGGGGTAGAGCACGAAGAACATGCTGTACCTGTTGGTGTGTGCACAGCGGGCGGCGGGCGGGCAGGAGATATGGAAGTGAGAAGGGAGTCAGCGGCATGGATGGTGATGATGCCCGAGGGGTAGAGCATGTAGAACATGCTGTACCTGTTGAGGGGCGCACAGCAGCATGGATGAGAATGAGGGCGGGTGGTTGAGGGGTAGAGCACATAGAACATGCTGTACCTGTTGCGCGCAGGGCGATGGGGGAAGAGACATGGCGCAGGGGGGAGGGAGGAGTGCAAAGCAGCATGGATGAGAGGGAGGGCTGGTGCCTGCGGGGTAGAGAACGTAGAACATGCTGTACCTGTTGCAAACAGGGCGACGGGGGAGGAGAAATGGCGCAGGGGGAAGGGAGCTGGCGGAGGGAGAAGGGGTGCACAGCAGCATTGGTGGAGTGAAAGCACCCGTAGACGCTAGACGGGAAAAGTTTTTGGGCAGGCCGGAAAAAAAAATTGGGGGGAAAAAATCAAGACCTAAGAAGAAATTGCCTCAAATGTTAGCTACGTCCATATCCCCCCCCTCCCCATGCCCCGCAGAAGGTTTTTTTGGCTGTCCGTACTTGTTTTTGCCTGCGCGGGCTTGCGTCTAACCCAGCGTCTAATCAGCCCTAGACGCGTCTTCCACAACTTAGTGAAGGTTGGTGGGTGAAGGTTGGAGCTCAAGGGAGGCGAAGGAGAGAAGCAACCAGTGGTGCAACCGGGTCAGGAGGAGTAGGGAGGAATGGAGTGGGGAACGGTGAGGGGCTGGAAGAGGGAGGAGGAGGCAAGGAATGTGGAGATGGTTGAGGGGTAGATGGGAAATGTGAAGGAGTGTGAGGGGCAGAGAGCGCGAAGGTCAGGGAGCGCAAAGGGCAGGGAGTGGGAGGGGCAGGGAGTGGGAGGGGCAAGGAGTGAGAGGGGCAGGGAGGCGCATGGGGTGCGTAGTACCTACCTGAGCCAGAGCAGAGGCGCGGGCGTGAAGCCAAAGGCCTCCTTGACGGCAAAGAAGGAGTAGCGCACGATCTGACCGGCGGGCACCGCGAGGCGAGCACAGGCGCGGGGAAAGGGGAAGGAGGGCGGGGGAGTGGGGAAAGTGGGGAGGAGGAGGGGGAGGGAGGGGTAGAGCAAAGGAGGGGGGAGCACATAGCGTCAGGCGATGACAGTCTGGTGTTTGAGCATGTGAGGGTGGGGTGACATGCAGAGAGGCCGTGGACAAGTTGGGGCGAAGCTGTTGGAAGTCCCGCGCCTTGCAGCAGGTATGGAGGGGGATTGGGGGTTGTGGAGTGCGAAAGGGTGAGCCTACAGTCTGGCACTCCTGCTTGCCCATCTCGCATATGGTAATAGCGTGCTGTCGTGTTGTGTGTACCCTCCGGGCCTCCCCTCCCGCAAGCCCGCCTCTCACCTCCGCTCACTCGCTCCTTCTCTCCTTCCTTGACTCTTTCATGTCCTTCCCTCCCGCCCTCTCTCACTTCATTCCTCACACGTTCACCGTACCCCTACCCCCAACTTCCCCCCTTTCCGCGATGTCCCTCCCCCTCTCTCTTGTCGTTCTCGCTCGGCCCAATCTCCCTCCCCCTCATGGAACATTCATGTGTCACGCACCCCCCGCACTCCCCCCACGCAACCCCAACGCACCCCCCCCCCCCCCCCCCCCCCCCCCCCCCCTCCCCCCCTCCTCCCCCACGCACCCCCCACGCAGCCCCAACGCACCCTGCGCATCCCCTGCGCACCCCTCCCGCACCCCCCCCGTACACCCCCCGCACCCCCCCCGTACACCCCCCGCACCCCCAGTGCACCCCCAGTGCACCCCCAGCGCACCCCCCCGCACCCCCAGCGCACCCCCCAGCGCACCCCCCCGCACCCCCAGCGCACCCCCCAGCGCACCCCCCAGCGCACCCCCAGCGCACCCCCAGCGCACCCCCCAGCGCACCCCCAGCGCACCCCCCAGCGCACCTCAGTGATGGACCAGCTGAGCAGCAGCGACGCCACCAGAACGTGCTCCCGCACCTGTACACGTGGCAGGCAGTGGAGGCGATGGGGTGCACACGTGGCAGGCAGTGGAGGCAATGGGGTGCACACGTGGCAGGCAGTGGAGGCGATGGGGTGCACACGTGGCAGGCAGTGGAGGCGATGGGGTGCACACATGGCATGAGATGGTGGCGACGGGGTGCACATGTGGCATGCAGTGGTGGCGACGGGGTGCACACGTGGCATGCAGTGGTGGCGATGGGGTGATGGTAGGGGCGGGGCACACGGAGATGGGGACACACAGGAATGGGGAGAAGCGGTGATGGTGGGAAAAGGAAAAGCAGACGAGCGGCGCCAGCACAAGTGGAGGCCATGTCGTCACAGGGAGAGTGGCACCTCCACGGAACGCAAGCAGGTGCTTTCTGACTGTGAGAATGATTTCATTAGGAGAACAGGGTGGTGCAGAGTCGCGCGCCTCTAACACTGCACGACCCTACGGTTCTCTCATCCCATCCTCGCTTCTTTCTTTCCCTTCCGTCTCTTGCACGGAACGCCGGCGAGTGACAGCCTTGTTGTGAGGGCGAACCCCCCCTGTGGCACATCGATTCGCGATAGATAAAGCACCTTAGGCACTTGATTGAGCAGCTGATGCGCAGTAAAGAACACATGACATGAAAGAACACCTGCGGCGCGGGGTAGAGCACCTGTGGCGCGGGGTAGAGCACCTGCGGCGCGGGGTAGAGCACCTGCGGCGCGGGGTAGAGCACCTGCGGCGCGGGGTAGAGCACCTGCGGCGCGGGGTAGAGCACCTGCGGCGCGGGGTAGAGCACGCCCCAGACGAGGAAGAGGCGCGACGCGATCTGCGGGAGCGTGGCGGACACGGGCGACCTCACGATCCCTGCCGCCCGCAGCGCACCGCACGTGGGGGAAGGGATGGGGGGGGAAGGGGGGGAGAGGGGAAGGGAAGGGGCAGCGGGGTAGGGACGATGAGAGATACACATCCCAGGGACAAATCACGTGGTACCGACTAGAGTTGCGGAAGCGAGCGTGCGATAAGAGAGCTGCACGGAGACAGAGAACGGAAACCGGGACACTCACCGAGAATACTGTGGATGATCTGCGCGTGCCATGCCGACACGGAGGTGCCATGCCGACACGGAGGTGCGTTTTCCGGGGTGGCATGGGAGTAGGGAGAGGGACACAGGCGGTGGCAGTGCAGAGAGGAACACAGGAGCTGGCATATTAGAGGGTTGTAGACGCGCCACGGCTTTGAATGCGACGACCAACTCGCTGAATGCGGTCCCCATTACATATTAATGCATCATCCCCAATAGCCGCGACTACCAACGCGGAGGTCGCAACGTCGTTAGCATGGGTTCGCTGCAAGCAATGACGTGGAGAGACACCGCCGTACACCGGCATCTACCGCAATGCACATACCTACCACATTGCATCCCGAACACAATCCTCGATATAAGCCTCTGACTAACCTCCATGAGTGCCGCGGTCTGAGCGATCTGAAGCGGAAGCTCCGCCGTGGCATACACGGTGGAGGGGCCGCCTGTCGCTAGCGCCTGCACCGTCAGGATCAACACGTACAGCCTGCCATGCCATGCCATTCCATGCGATCCCATGCCATGCCATGACATGCCATCCCATGCCATGCCATGCCATGCCATCCCATGCCATGCCATGCCATGCGATCCCATTGTATCCCCGTGCAATGCCATATGACGCCATGCGATGCCTTGTGAGAAGATACATGAATGCCGAGGTGGCTGGGTTGTGTTGTGAAGCATAGCGGATTGCATAGCTGGTAATGAGGCTGCGCGGAGGGAAGTAGAGTGACCACACACCATGCGACCGCGAGGAACGCGTTGTACGGAACGAAGTAGAGTGCTTTTAGCGACGCCATCGCGGTCGGTAGCGTGGACTCCAAACGTGCCGAGGAAATGTCAGCTTGGAAATGCACACCACGCAGTCGTTAACGTGACCCGCTGTCAGCGAAAACAGGATCGCAATGAGGCAATGAGGAAGGCAGAGACGACACTACGAGTGCGGTGCTTGCACGGGAGAATCTGTGAGAAACCCTCACAGGGAGACGCTACTGGGTTCCGAGCTCCCTGCACACGAGCTGGCGGCGGTTGCACTGAACCGCCCGGAACCGAGCTCGCCAGCCTGACGAGGGGCGGGAAGCAGGCTGACGCAGCCCCGAACCGCAGACAGGTGTGGGGACCACCTGACACGGCAGGGCTTGCCCGCGCGCGGGAAGAAAGGAAGAGAAACGCATCCGCGATGCACGAAATCGGAAACCGTACAAGCACGACGAAATATAAGACTAGGGATACAACATATGCTAGCATATACATATGTTTATTATGTATGATGTACAATCTAGGTTAGTATAGAAATCATGTGTTGTAATACATGCTTATTTCTATTATATAGAAAACCTCTGTGTAACCGGTGGTTGTCAGATTACAATTGTATCTCTAGGCTACAGTAGGGTCACTCCTTAGTGAGTACAACACTTTAGGGTTAGGTTTCCCCTACTTGTACTCACCTCTTGCCTAATTCAATCATTCATTCCTGGTTATTCTAACATGGTATTAGAGCAGAATCGTTCCTAGGGCCCACCGAACGTTCCGCCCTGCCCTAACCGTAAATTTTTCTTCCTACGCTGCCCTTGCAGCCGCACTGCCCTTGCAGCCCGCGTGCTGCCCCTGCGACCGCGCTGCCCCTGCAGCCGTACTCGCCCCTGCGACCGTGCTGCCCCTGCAGCCGTGCCTGCCCCTGCGACCGTGCTGCCCCTGTAGCCGTGCCTGCCCCTGCGTTCGTGCTGCCCCTGCAGCCGTGCCTGCCCCTGCGTTCGTGCTGCCCCTGCAGCCCGCGCGTTCGCCCCTGCAGCCCGTGGGCGCTGCCTCTGCAGCCCGCGCGCCACCCTGCCGAGCCGCGCGTCGCCCCTGCAGCCCGTGGGAGCTGCCCCTGCAGCCCGTGCGCCGCCCTGCCGAGCCGCGCGTTGCCCCTGCAGCCCGTGGGCGCTGCCCCTGCAGCCCGTACGCCGCCCTGCAGAGCCGCGCGTCGCCCCTGCAGCCCGTACGCCGCCCTGTAGAGCCGCGCGTCGCCCCTGCAGCCCGTGGGCGCTGCCCCTGCAGCCCGCGCGCCGCCCCGCCGAGCCGCGTGTTGCCCCTGCAGCCCGTACGCCGCCCTGCGGAGCCGCGCGTCGCCCCTGCAGCCCGTACGCCGCCCTGCGGAGCCGCACGTCGCCCCTGCAGCCCGTGGGCGCTGCCCCTGCAGCCCGCGCGCCGCCCCTGCCGAGCCGAGCATCGCCCCTGCAGCCTGGGCGCCGCCCTGCCGAGCCGCGCGCCGCCCCTACAGCCCGCGCGCCGCCCTGCCGAGCTGCGCGTCACCCCTACAGCCCGTGGGCGCTGCCCCTGCAGCCCGCGCGCCGCCCTGCCGAGCCGCGCGTCGCCCCTGCAGCCCGTGGGCCGCGCGCAACCCTAAACCCTAAAAAAAAAAAAAAAAAAAAAAAAAAAAAAACTACTACTGCTGCTGCTACTCGTGCTACTGCTGCTGGTGGTGGAGGTGCTGCTGGGACTGCAGGAGGTGCTGCTGGTGCTGTAGGAGCTGGAGGTGCTGGACCTACTCCTGACAGTCACTGTCTGTCATGGCCACTTCCGCGGCAGTTGCTGCGGTCAGGGGTGGACAGCAGCGGGCACTGCTTCTCCCGGACAACCCCACCCCTCAGCAGCTTCGTGAGTGGGTTATTCAGCGAGGTCGTCCTGGTGGTGGCGGTTATCGTTTTGTTAAGACTGCTGCTCTTGGTGCTAGTGAGTCTGCTGCTACTCCAGGTGCTAGTGAGTCTGCTGCCGCTCCAGGTGCTAGTGAGTCTGCTGCAGCTCTAGGTGCCCGTGAGTCTGCCGACGCTCTAGGTGCTAGTGCGTCTCCTACCACAGGTCCTGCCTCAGCTGAGGTCTTGCACTCTTTCACGCTTGACTCAGGCGTGTCACGTTGCTTCTTTCGTGATTGCACCACAGTCACACCACTCACAGCACTTGTCCCAGTCTCACTGGCTGACCCCTCTGGGGGCCCAGTAGTTGCGAGAGCCTCCACGGTCCTCCCTTGTCCAGCAGTCCCCTCCGGCTCTCTGTCAGGTCTCCACCTCCCCACGTTCTCGACGAACTTGGTGAGCAACGCTGCCATTCAGGATGTCTGGGTTGATACCTTTATTCCTGGAGGGCAGCGTGTGGCGATCTGTACGTGCTCCCGGACTGGCCGTCACCTGGCTACGTTCACTCGACAGCCTGGGTCTAGTCTGTACACACTGACCACTGCGTCTGCACAGGTAGCTGAGTCAGGTCAGGTGGCTGCGTCGAGTCGGGCGTCTGCGTCGGGGCAGTTAGATGCGTCTTGCTCGTGCAGAGTACTCACGCACGAGACTCAGCGCTGGCACCACCGTCTTGGTCACCCCTCCCTGCAGCGTCTACGCAGTATGCAATCCCGTCTCCTTGTCTCTGGCCTCCCCAGGACCCTGCCCCCCCTCCTGCGCTCACTTGCGCCGCCGTGCCTTCCTTGCGTCGAGGGGCGGCAGCGCGCCGCTCCTCACTCCTCCGAGTTTCCTCCGACCACAGCTCCTCTCAGACTCTCCACCTGGACGTGTGGGGCCCGGCCCCAGTCGGTGGGACGGACCTGGAGCGCTACTTCCTGCTGGTTGTTGACGACTACACACGCTACACCACAGTCTTCCCCTTGCGTCGCAAGGCGGACGTCAGCGGTGTTTTGATCCCCTGGATCCGTGCTACTCGTCTTGAGCTGCACGAGTGCTTTCAGCAGGACTTCCCAGTCCAGCGTCTGCACTCTGACAGGGGTGGTGAGTTCTCCTCTGGCGCCTTGAGACGTTCTGCCAGGATGAGGGCATCCGCCAGTCGTTCACGCTTCCGGCCTCTCCGCAGCAAAATGGGATCGCTGAGCGTCGCATTGGCCTGATCATGGAGGTTGCTCGTACCTCCATGATCCATGCGGCTGCTCCCCATTTCCTGTGGCCGTTTGCGGTCCGATACGCCGCGCATTAGCTCAACCTCTGGCCCCGTGTCTCTGCTCCAGAGACCTCGCCCACACCCCGTTGGACGGGACAGCCTGGTGATGCGTCGTCGTTTCGGGTCTGGGGCACGCTCTCCCTTGTTCGCGATACCAAAGCGAGCAAGCTCTCTCCTCGCACTCTCCGCTGTGTCTTCCTGGGCTTCCCCACCGACGCTCCACCCTGGCAGTTCTACCACCCTGCCTCGCGTCGTGTTCTGTCCTCTCAGGACGTCACCTTCGACGAGTCGGTCTGTTACTACCGACTTCACCCACACGCGTCCCACCCGGTCCCCCTCGCGCCTCTCTTCCTGGTACCAGTCCCCCCCCCCCGGTAGACCCCCTTCCCCCACAGGGTCCTGCTCCCTCAGGTGTGTCCCAGGTAGACCCACCCCCCTTGGATGAGCCAGTTGAGATCTCTTCTGACTCCTCTGACTCAGCTGAGGGGGGTGACGCCGTCGCCGACAACACGGCGACCACTCGCCACACTCCTCGCTTGGAGACCCCCCCGGGTTTCCCGCCTCGGCCGTCTTCGCCACCTCCGCAGCCTGCTGCTGTGGACTCTGGAGCTGAGGCTGCTGGAGCTGGGCCTGGGAGGGTACGTCTGGGGGTGACTGCTCTCCTCGTTTGGCTACCCCCCCCGGTTTCCCGCCTCTGCAGCCTTCTGCAGTGGACACTGGAGCTGAGACTGAGGGTCCTGAGCCTACGGGTGCTGGGACTGAGCGTACTGAGCCTGCGGGTGCTGGGACTGAGCGTACTGAGCCTGCGGGTGCTGGGACTGAGAGTACTGAGCCTGCGGGTGCTGGGACTGAGGGCACTGAGCCTGCGGGTGCTGGGACTGAGGGTACTGAGCCTGAGGGTACTGAGCCTGGGGGTACTGAGACTTTGGGTGCTGACTCTGGGGGTGCTGAGACTTCGGGTGCTGACTCTGGGGGTGCTGCGAGTCCTTCTGGAGGTCCTGGAGCTGGAGGTACTGGAGCTACTAGGCCTGGAGGTACTATTGGAGGTACTGGAGTTGCTACTGGTGCTGGAGGTGCTGGAGCTGGGGGTACTAGAGGTGCTTCTGGTGCTGGAGGTGCTAGAGCTACCACTACTGGAGGTACTGGAGCTGGACAGCCACCGCAGCCTGCTCTACTTGAGACGCTCTCGCCGCAGGCGATTCGTGCGTGGGTCGTTCGGCGAGGCAGTCCTGGTGGTGGAGGGTACGGTCCGGCTGGTGCTGGAGCTACTGTCCGGGAGGTGCTGCTGGTGCTGGAGGTGCTGGAGGTACTACTGGAGGTACTAGAGGCACTGCTGGTGCTGGAGGTGCTGCTGGTGCTGGGGGTACTGGAGCTGCTGCTGGTGCTGGAGGTGCTGGAGGTGCTGACCCTGGAGGTGCTGGTGTTGGAGGTACTGGAGGTGCTGGAGCTACTGGTCCCGGAGGTGCTCGTACTGGAGGTGCTGGAGCTGCTGGAGCAGGTGGTGCTGCTGGTGCTGGAGGTGCTGGAGGTGCTACTGGAGCTGCTGGCACGGGAGGTACTGGAGGTACTACTGGTGCTGGAGGCGCTGGAGCTAGAGCTGGAGGCACTGGAGGTGCTGGAGGTACTACTGGTGCTCGAGGTGCTGGCGCTGTCGGAGCTCGTGGTGCTGGAGGTGCTGGTGCTACTGGTGCTGGAGGTGTTGCTGGGGGTACTGGAGGAGCTGCTCGTGCTGGAGGTACGGGAGCTACTGGTGCTCTTCGCCACCTTCTCAGTCTTCCGCCAGGTGCTACTGGCTTCCCTGTGGCAGGTACTACTCCTCCGTTGCTGTGTCCACTGGTGGACCAGTCACAGCCACCACTGCTACCACACTCCCCACTGC